TCTATTCTATTCTATTCTATTCTATTCTATTCTATTCTATTCTATTCCTATTCCTATTCCTATTCCTATTCTATTCTATTTTCCCAGACAACTCTCCAACTGCTTCTTCTGAGTCCCAGAACGCTCCGCTCTTCTGGAAGACAACTTGCCTTAAATCTTCTGGACTACTTTGCTCCCTTCACAAGCAGTAAAGCAGGGGTTAAGACCTGTGGACTTCAGCTCCTAGAATTCCTCAGCCAGCTAAGCTATAGGCTGGCTGAGGAATTCTGGGAATTGAAGTCTCCAAGTCTTAAGTTTGCCAAGGCTGGAGACTTCTGCTGTAGAAGACTGTATCCAAGAGCTACTTTTAGTGGTCATTGTAGTTAGTTCTGGATGTGAAACAGAAAAGGCTATTCTTTTGTTCTTGCATCATAAAACATCAATTTCTCTAGCAAGCCCTTGGAGGAGGACAGATCCGTTCTAGGAGCCTCCAAATAGCAATCCCCCCATATCTGATATATAGGGTCTTATGGTGGCTTTTATCTTAGGCAGGCTGCGCTGCACCAATGGTATACCATTTACTATAAAGCTGAAGACTCCAGATGACTACATGATTGTACCCATGGAGTTTTCTGGCAACAACAGAAAAGTGACATGTCATTCCCTTCTCCTAGAATGCTTTTTTTAATCTTTCCAATCTGCTTTACATCCTAGAGGTCTCCCGTCCAAGAATAACCAGATCAAACCAGACATGCCTTTTAGGTGGCGAATGTCATGCAAACAGGGATCAGAGCAACTGGACTTCTAATACAGATTAAATCTATACAAATCATTTTTCCTATTTCTACATGGTAAGCAATAGCAATAGCACTTAGACTTATATACCGCTTCACAGTGCTTTTGCAGTCCTCTCTAAGAGGTTTATAAAGTCAGCCTTTTGCCCCCAACAATCTGGGTCCTCAGAAAGACAGAAGGCCAAGTCAACCTTGAGCCAGTCAGAATCGAACTGCCAAATTGCAGGCAGCCGGCAGTCAGCAGAAGTAATCTGCAGTACTGCACTCTAACCACTGCACAGCAGTAAGGGTGACTCTCTACTTTGGGCCATAGTTAAAATGGTTCCATCTTGTCCTCGCTTGACAAAAGCAGAAAAAATATTCCTGGAAGAATATTATTCCAGGTAGTCCTTGGTTTATAACCATTCGTTTAATGACCATTCAAACTTACAATGGCACTTATCACCTTTGCAGCATGATCCATATTTTGGCAGCAGGCAACTGATGTGTATTTACGATAGTTGAGGTGTGCTGGGATCATGTGATCGCCGTTTGTCACCTTTCCAGCCACCTCCCAACAAGCAAAAGTCAATGGGGAAAGCCAGACCCACTTAATGAGCTCATGGTTCATTTAACAACAGCGGTGATTCCCTCAAGAATGTGCCCGCCCCCCCCTCAAAAAAGTTGTAAAACTGGATGCGACTCACTTAAAGCCAGCTTGCTTAGCAATGGAAATTCTGGCTTCCAATTGCAGTTCATGCATCGAGGTTCATGACTATCGGCAACGTTGCAAATCATGTGTAAAGTCACAATAAAGTCCCACAAAAGGTTAGCGGGGTTTGCCTTCAGGGAAGTGCCGACCGAATTGCAGATTTACCAAGGGTGAGATTAAAGAGCTGCAGGTTGGATTCAAGATTTCTGCTGTAGAACAGCAGAGAAAGGGATGGGTGAGAAATCCGTTTTCTTTCCGGGGATGGGCAGAGATGGAACTAGAGCTGTAGGAAATCAAGTCACCCTTTGCAAATAAGAAAGGCCAAACTGAGGACACAGCTGGAAAGCTATTTATCCAGTGCATTTGCAAGCTGCCAATCAAGAAATGCTGACTCAAGGGCAAATGGGTCATTTCCATGCAACTGTTCTGCCCCCACTGGACTCCTAGCCGAAATAAGGGATGTCTGGTTTGCCTTCTCATCAGAAGACCTGCACGTACAGGTGCTGCTGGAGTGATTAATCCTAAATCCTGGTTGCAAAAATATGCCCTGGAACAAAGTCGCACAAACACAGAGTACCTAAAAATCACATCCATTTCGCTACGCGGAAAAAAATAAAATCCATACCATTAATAACTGGGCACTGGAAGAGGAAACGCGTGCTGCCACTATGTAGGAAATTAGAATATCTGTGTTCCCTATGTGAGCTCTTAAAAAGGGGACAGCTTTGGTCTGCAAAAGCTTCAGTGAATAATCAATTTATTGACTAAATCAGGGACTAACAACCTGCAACTCTATGGCGGAAGGCAGGTTTCGGCCTGATTTCAATATCCCTCTGCAAGTGAATCAATTCAGATCTCTGATCTTGTCCCAAAGCCTCCTAAATACAGAGGGAGAAAGAAAGCAGGAAGGAAGAAGGCATGGCAGAGGAAAGACCAAGGAACTCGGGGCTAATGTTTTCATTGTGATTTGGCTCTGCACCTTCTGCTGAAAAATACAATGGAACAGGCCACCCACAATTCATGGATTGTGATGCCCATTTGCATACGGATGACACAGAAGGGTGGGTATTGTTTGTCTTGCTCTCTTTTCCCCACCTCAGATTTGTTGTTAAATAACCCACATGTAAATTTACACACATGTAGAAATGCTGCGTTTACTACAGGTAATCCTCAGCTTACGACCACAGTTGGGACCAGAATTCCCACTGCTAAGCAAAGCAGTCATTAAATGAATTGTGCCCGGTTTATGATTTGTATTGCCATGTTTTTTTTAGCTGAATCCTGTGGTCATTAAGCAAGTCTGGCTTCCCCCCCATTGATTTTGCTCATCAGAAGCCAGCTGGGAAAATACTGGTTGCATTTATCTGTTGATTTAATAGGCCACACATCACACTGTTGAAGCAACTCTGGGCATCTTACAAAACAAAAAGATAATACAAAATGATTAAAATTAAGGGAGATTAAATAACCAAGAGCAGGGGGTTCTCCAACTTTGGCTACTTTAAGACCTGAGAACTTCCATTCTCAGAATTCTGCAGCCAACCATGCTGGCTGGGGGAATTCTGGGCACTGAAGTCCACGAATCTTAAAGTTGCCAAGTTGGAGACCCCTGACAAAGAGGACTCGGGACACGTGGTTGGGAATCTCCTCTGTATCCTATCACCAGCTCCAGCACAGAGCACATCTATCAGGGCTCCAGCCATCCATTAGAGCCAGGTTTTAAGACTCTTCTGGAAGGCTAGGAATGTGTGAGGGCCAACCTCATCTCTAGTGGGAGAATATTCCAGAAGATGGGGGCCACAGCAAAAAAGGCTCACACCTTGACCATCTCGTTGGTGCCCTCTTCTTTGAAGAACCATTCAGTAAATGCTTCCGCATCTGTTTCACTGCGCTTCTTGCACGAAATGCAACGGATCTTGAAAGACTGGCCAACTACAGCCTCCGTTTCTGAATCCACCTCCACGCAGCCAGCTTGACACAAGGTCACTGAAAGAGGAGAAATCAGGAAAATTAGAATCCAGCGGTATCAAAATTCCCGTCTCCAGTTTTTATATCCTTTTTTTTTATATTTTAAAATATTTAAGGGAACAAAACAAATGATTACAGTTGTCATAACATGTCACATTTATTACTTCATTGTTTAAATAATTAATGGAATATACAAAATTAGATTCCTTATATCATCTTAGGAAGTAACGTATAGTAAATCACCACAACACTCTCTAAACCTTAATACTTATATGCATATCTCACCCTTATTTGTCGTCGTTCCTAAAATAAATGTCCATGTTCTTGTAAACAAAAATAGAGAAAAATAAAAAAAAAGAGTGAAAAGTGAGGAATAAATACTTTGAAAAAAACCAGAGTTGTTTTTAAATTCTTTCCCATTGCAATTTACTGATTACATCCAATATACTGATTACATCCAATTATATATATTTATAATGATAAATGTGCTAGTTTCCCCTTCAGACAGTGTAAATCTTTCGCCAAAACTTTTATTTTAGTTTATATGGGTGTCAATTTTTAATTCCAATCAAGGATCCTTTCTGCACAGGGAAGGATGCAGAATCTCAGATATTCTCCTGCATTTTGTCAATAAGAATAAGAATATATAACAAAACAAAATTCAATGTAGAGAAATGTAAAGTCCCACACTTAGGTAAGAAAAACCCAAAGTATACCTATAGACTGGGTGAAACCAGGCTTAATAGCAGTAACTGTGAGAGGGATCTTGGAGACTTAAGTGAACAACCGATTAAATATGAGCTAAGGGTGTACGGCGGCAGCCAAAAAAGCCAATGCAATCCTAAATAGTATTAACAGAGGGATACAATCAAGATCAAGGGAGGTATTAATATCACTTTATAAAGCCTTAGTATGACCACACCTAGAGTACTGCATCCAGTTTTGGTCACCAGACTATAAAAAAGATGTTGAGACTCTAGAAAGAGTGCAGAGAAGAGCAATCAGGATGATTAGGGGACTAGAGGCTAAAACATACAATGAATTGGGCATGGCTAGTCTAGTGAAGAGAAGGACTAGGGGAGACATGATAGCAGTTTTCCAATATTTGAGGGGCTGCCACAGAGAGGAGGGTCAAGCTAGTTTCCAAAGTACCTGAAAGCCAGACAAGGAAAAATGGATGGAAACTGAACAAGGAGAGATTCAATCTGGACATAAGAAGTTTTCTGACAGTGGAAACAATCAACCAATGGAAAGCTTTCCTTCAGAAGTTGTAGGAACTTCATCACTGGAAACTTTCAAGAAGAGACTGGACTGCCACCTGTCAGAAATGGTATAGGGTGTCTTAGTTGGGGGGGTGGACTAGATGACCTACAAGTTCCTTTCCAACTCTGTACCTAATCTGTATTGCTCAATGTCAGCCCTTTCAGGGAGACCAGTCTCTCAACCTTAGCAACTAGAAGATGGAAGGATTTCACCTCCCAGAATTCCCCAGCCATCCTGAAAGTCCTACAGGCCAATTTATTGTAAAGTTATAGTTAACAGAATCTTGCAAAATCTCGTACTGGGGTTCCCTACAGGAGCCAAACCGAGGGAGCGGCCTGGGGCTCCTGTGGATGGCTGAGTGGGAAGCAAAGCCAATGCCTAGAGAGACCCCGGGGTGGGGGGAAGCAGGCCCAAGGCCTGCAGGGACCCTAGAGACAGGAAGTGGAGCAAGGAGTGCCTCAAGGGTATGAGGAAGGCCTTGGGAGGCTCAGGGCAGGTAAGGTTGCTTAACAACTGTATCAGGGAGAGCACAGGTAGGAGGAGGTCATTAAGCAAGGTGATGATCACGCAGGCACCTTGCTTAATTAACATTGTAACTCGTAACCATAATGGGCAGTTCCATTCCAGTCGCAAACTGAGGACTACCCATACTCACATTACATTCTTGGCCCCTTTTATCTGACTTTTCCCGCTGTCCCTCAAGGCCATTCGCTCTTTTCTCTACACGCCCAACCACTCTTTCTGCTTTCCCCCAAATCTTCTTCACCACTTCTTCACGATGTGTCTGGGTGTGTGTGTTTTTTTTTACTTTGCTCACAGGTGACAATGGCCGTGGAGAACCCTAGCAAAGCTGGCACGGCTGGACAATTTGCAGACCTTGGCAGATGCCCTCTGATATTCGTCCTGATTCCTTACCCCCTGTACAGTTCACATCTTTCAAAGGCATTCCAAATTCACAAGGTGGATCGAACAAAATGGAGAAATCCATCCCTGTGGAATTTCTGCCTCGCTCATCTGCTGGAGCTGTAAGAACCTCCGCTGTATGAATTCTGGAAAGCGAAAACATCTTGACCTACTTTTTCCCATTATTCTTTTACCTGGCTGTGAACACCATAGCAGCATATGCAGAAAAAGTGCCATATGCTTTTTTATCACAAAGAATGGCTGTTTCTTCCCACTGAAGGGTGGCTAACCAAGTTTTGGGGATATGCTGCAATGTCCTCTCATTTAAAAAGTGAATCTGATGTAAGTTCAACTCTAACCATCCTTAGACTACAATTTGACACGATTTTGTTCCAAACCACTTAAAAAAAAAACATTTAGAGTTTGCCCTTCGATTTTTTTTACCAAATTAGATGTCTAGATTTTGAGAGGCTGCCCTAAAGAGGAGGGGGTCAACTCATTCTCCAAAGCACCAGAGGGCAGGACAAGAAACAATGGATGGAGATTAATCAATGAAAGAAGCAATCTGGAGTTAAGGAGAAACTTCCTAACAATGAGGACAAATTAACCAGCAGAATAGCTTGCCTTCAGAAGTTGTGGGTACTTCATCACTAGAGGTTTTTAAGAAAAGACTGGGCAGTCCCTTGTCTGGAATGATATGGGGTCTCTCCTGCTTGAGCAGGGGTTGGACTAGAAGACCTCCAAGGTCCCTTCGAGCTGTATTCCGACTGACTAGAGTTTATTAACTTCCCAATAATTGTCATCTCTAGCTACTGATTTATATTTTGTTAACCAGACATTCTTAGTTTAAACCCTAATAGGGAAAGTTTGTTTTTCCCTCAAAAAGTGACAGAACATACAAAGCTCCAAAAATGCTTCTAACTATGTCAGTATTTCTACAGCCCTCCCTGGGTACCCAGACAAACAGGTAGCAGAACCACATGTTGAGGTATCTCCTTGCAAATCCCTTGCTTCAAATATTCATCATATCACAGGCTTCTGTGAGGGAGATCTTACTCAACTCTATCTCCCACCCAGAGAAAGGTTGATGACGGTGAACCTTTTAGAAATTTGGGATCTCCGCAAACATTTCAACCTGCCCATGTTGATCACAGAAATGGATCTGGAAGCAGAGAGGTGGAGAAATAATGTTTTGGCACACACTTTGTTTTGCTTTTTGAAAAAAAAAATGAAATGAATTTAAAAAAAGAAGAGAGTGTTGAATGCCTAAGGAAGAACTATCTCAAGAGGAAGCAAGAGCAGATAGCGTAATCTGATGCATGTTTATTCTGAAGTAAACCTCCCAGAGTTCAGCGAGGCTCATTCCCATAGGTGCCAAAATTGTAATCAGATAAATTACTCCAGCTTCTGGAGAAGGACAGATTATCCATTGAAACAGGAAGAAGAAAGGGTGTTATCTAATGCTACAGTGATGTATATATAGTCCTGGGCTTACAGCAATTTGTTTGGAGACTGAAGTCACAACACCACTGAAAAAAACTGACTTGGCCGTCCTTGCACTTATGACTATTACAGTATCCCCACAGTCGTGTGATTAAAAATCTGAGTGCTTAGTACCCAACATGTATTTTACAAGAGTCGAAGTGTCCTGAGGACACATGATCATTATTTGTGATCTTCCCAGCCAGCTTCCGACCAGCAAAGTCAATGGAGGAAGCCAGATTTGCTTAACAACCATGTGATTAACCTAACAACTGCAACAACTGTACAACCATGTCAAAAGAGAAAGTAATATCAATAATACTGGATGAGCTGCAGTTGGCGCAGTGGTTAGAATGCAGTACAGCAGGCTACTTCTGATGACAGCCAACTGCCTGCAATTTGGCAGTTCAAATCTCACCGGGCTCAAGGTAGACTCAGCCTTCCATCCTTCTGAGGTCAGTAAAATGAGGACCCAGATTGTTGGGGCTGACTCTGTAAACCGCTTAGACAGGCTGTAAAGCACTGTGAAGCAGTGTATAAGTTTAAGTGCGATTGCTATTGCCCTTCCTTCCTTCCCTCCCTCCCAGTGGTTAGAGTGTAGTATGCAGGCCAATTCAGCCAAATGTCAGCGGTTCGATTCTGAGTGGCTCAAGGTTGACTCAGCCTTCCATCCTTCCGAGGTGGGTAAAATGAGGACCCAGATTGTTGGGGGAAGGAGGCTGACTCTGTAAACCGCTTATAAAGGGCTGTAAAGCACTGTGAAGCAGTATATAAGTCTATTGCTATAAGGCATAACCCCTTTATCAACTGCTTTGCCTAACCATAGAAATTTGGGTCTCAAATTGTGCTTGCAAATTGAGGACCTACCCATAACTCATTGCTTAATTTGACAACAGACCCCCACCAAACCGAGAACTTTGAACAGATAAATCTAAGCTCCTCCCCATTTCTGGTTCACGGAAGTTGCAAAGGTGACAGAGAAATATGACATTCGGGAGCCAGGGGAACATTTACCGCTATGGGAATTGCACAGGATTGTCAACTTGGGAGATTTTGAGATGCAATGTACCTTCCTAAGCACCATTTGGCCTCAACCCCACAAGCTGGCAAACAGTACTTGAGTGAGAGCTCTGCAAATTTAATGATTGGAAATGGGCTGAGCATTCATTTTAAGCAGCATCCAAAAACCAAACATTTCCACAAATGTGCAACTTACCTAATGATAATAACGTACTTTACAAGGATTTTTAAATGATTACGTTCCTTTCCCCCATCTCTAATAAGATACTAAATTCCCTATTAAGATGTTACTTCCTCTGTAATTTCAATATTTAACCAGTTAGAAGTTATTATTAGATTCTAAATCTTTA